AGTGTGTCTCTTTTCCCAGGATGTCCATAAATATACTGGAAGCAGGCCACACCCCTAGGGAAACTCCCTTTCAATGGAATGGCTGCTCAAAACATACACATCTGATCCCACCTTGGGAACAACCCACACCACAATTGCTTAAACCACATGGAATTGTGGTCCAGCCAAGTTGACTCACAGGTCCAACTATCCCACTGATAGATGTAAGCTAGGGTTATGAGAACTGTTTTGCTATAACTAAGTACAGGGATGTTTTTATTAAAAAAATAAATAAATTTCTGGCTAAAAAGCAGTAAAGGGATAGATGCCCCAACAGCCTCAGAGCTGTTGATTATTCTTCTTAGAAAAGTAATAGAAAACAGACAACCTAAATGTCCATCAACTAATGTTGATGATAAACTGATAAACAAAGTTGTATATACTTATAATAGAATAGTATTTAGCTAAATAAAAAAAAAAGACTTCTGGTAAGATGGAGGAATAGGCAGACAAGCGACACAGACCCTCTTCAACAAAGAAGAGAAAAACCACTTGACAGAGATACAGAAGATAATCCTGGAAACCTGAGCTTAGAAAGGAACTATATATGAACTCTGGTAGCATAGTGCCTAAGGTACTTGACTGCTAATCAGAAGGCTGGCGGTTCAAACCCACCAGCCATTCCTTGGAAGGAAGATGGGGCAATCTACTTCCGTAGTGATACTGCCTTGGAAACCCAAGGAGGGGTCGCTATGAGTCGGGTTCGACTCGATGGCACATAACAACAACAACAACATACAAAAGTAGATTAGGCACCAATTAGTGGAAAAACCTGAAGGAAAACAGTGAGTACAGAGACGGTCGGAGCTGAAGACTGTCAGCTACTCTGATGGGACCAACAGCCTGAATATTTTCAAGTGGTGTTGGGACCTGAGAATTGACCTAAAGAGCAGTCCTGGTCTCCAAGGGCTACAGGGACAACTGCTCTGGTGGCCTATGACTAGAAAGGGAAACAGCAAGGAGGGAGACAACCTGAGCTGTGGGCTTTCTGCTGTCTGGAGGGTGCAGCCATCTACATTGTTTACACATGGCAGACATTTTGGATATTTGAAGTGACCAAGGGTGCAGCCATTTTGAATGCTTACAAGTGGGAGCCATTTTGGATATTTAAAGTGACTGAGGGCACAGCCATTTT